CTCTCTCTCTCTCTCTCTCTCTCTCTCTCTCTCTCTCTCTCTCTCTCTCTCTCTCTCTCTCTCTCTCTGTGTGGCCGCGCCGTTCGAATCTGCAAGACAGGAATGAATTTTCCCGTGCTGTCGGGAAGGTTCATTCCCGTTCACTAATTGGAATCTCCCTCTCTCTCTTTCTCCCCCCGTTCCCCCCGTGAAGTTTTCGTATCGTTGTTTTTTTTTTTGGGTCGAAGAAAAAGTTTTTTTTTTTTTGGGTCTTTTTTTTTGGGGTACAAAATTGCACCGACCGGGCGTTGGAGCTACCGACCCCCGAAAGTATCGGCGCGTTAACGGCCGCGACTTTTTTAATAGTTGGGCGAGGTACTGGTGGTTTAAGGTCCTGGCGGAACCCTGGACCAAACATTCAATCATTCGATCGAACCAATCAACTGCGTTCAACAAACTCACGCTTACTACTCCCCATCTACACCTTATCCTATGCTACATCCACATGCCTAAACTCCGCCTGACAACTGATCTATGCGACCAGTTGGAACTGTATGGTTCTCGTAACCCCTGACACTCTCCAACCTCCCCTTTAGCAGCCTACAGCAGGCCGAGCCAACCGAGTGCCCTGGTTTGTCAAGAAGGGATCCATAAGGCTAAAAATCCAAACAATCCAACAAAAGGACCCCCTCTTTGTCCACCTAACAACAACTACTTTCTGACTTGATGCGTAGGCCAATCCACCCTCTATGGTAGCCCACCGCTGTCTTGGTACCCAAAGCAGCCCTTTCCCCAGTTCGTCTCCTCCCTCTAACCCTGCAGCCATTGTGAGATCACCAACCCTTTTGTCAGGTGCTACCTTAGGCTACCATTTGATTGCCAATCGCCCACGTTTTGAGGAACGACCACAAAACTCGTCTTGGCATTTTACCACTCCTAGCCCTTTTGCGCCAGTCTGCCCAAATTGTCTGGCTCACTGATTTGTGCGCTAAGCGTCGCTTCGGCGGTGCGTAACGCTTAAGCGCGATTAGGGCAGGAATAACGTCCGTAAGGCACTATAGCGATGGTAGAGGCGTGCGTCATGGAAGAGAGATGCCCACTAAGTATACGAGTGGGTGAGGGAAGGAAGGGAGGAGAAGAGGGGAGAAAATCATAGTGAGGGGAGAGGGACAGTAAAGGAGAAGGGAAGGGGGATGGGGCAATTTGAAAGTCAGAGGTGAACACGAGAGAGTTAGGGAAAGAAGGAAAATGAAGTAAGGCGAGCTAAAACAGACAGCACAAACGATAAGAACTCTGAGGAGGGAAGTTCGTTGTTGCTCTCGCTCATGCCCTGGTAAAGGGAAGGTAACATCTCCTCTGTTGGCATGCATGGCTGAAAGGTGAAAGGGTCTGACTTTCCTATTTATGGAGGCTTCAACTTATATAAACATAAAAAATGCATTTATTAGAAATGAGGGTCAACCCATTAAGAGAACCGTTCATTGAGTAGGTTTAATTTAATTTTGAATTTTGTTTCGAGGATTAAACCCAGAATTGTGGTCTACTGGCAGAATCGTTATCACTGCAGAGACGGTAGGTCCTCCTCTCCCCTCCACGATGGGCCCGACAGAAAAGAAAAGGATTCAAGATATTTTTTAAAACTGCTATAAAGAAGGACTCTTACCAGAGGATCTGATATATGATCAAGTGAAGTTGGGGGAGGATTACGCACAAATAGTGGTCAATCCGGAACACTTCGCAGTGCAAGAGGAATGGCTCAACGAAAACGTCGTTTCCATTTTCTTTGGTAATGACTCAAAATCTCTACCAGCTGTAGTGAAAATTCGCTTATCCGTAGGTATGAAAATGCGTGGGCGAAGAGTGGGGCGATATAGTGCTCCGCCAAAAAGGGGGGTCTTCCACAATGAAGGATTTAACTTCGTTACCTACGTGGCCTCAACCAAGGAAATCTCCACTTGGTTGTTGAGAAAACAACAAGATATTATTGAGTTGGATAGGGAAACCTACTCAATTTCATTTCGGTCGTGGATGAATGAACAACAGTTGTATTAATGGCGAGAGGCAGCACGTATTAGATATTGTTCGATAAGATGCATGTTCGTGCCAGTTCCAGCCTTACCGTACCTGGCAATAGCAGTCAAGAAAGTGTTTGGAAAGATCCTTAAAAGGTATGAGACCTTTGCTGACCCGGTATCACCTGAACTCCTCAACATTCGGTTTGACCTCGATCCGGCGG